CGTGCTATCCTGGACCCCCACATTTAAACAGGCTCTGTGGTCCCTGCCCAGTGTATACACAGAGCTGTCAAGTCTCACAGATTACCTGTGAGCCTCCAGGTTTTTGGGGCTGCCTCCAGACCCCCACATGCATGACCCCATTGTATGGGGGCATAATTAGTAATAATTAATCATAGTTAATTGGTCCTAATTGGATCATAATTAAGCATAAGTCTAATTCATTTCCTCGATTTATGATCGTATATAAATGACAACGTTACGCAATAGTTCCAATATCCAAATGACATGACAATCGTTACGCAATAGCACAGAATAGGAACATAAGCAATAGTTCCAATATCCGAATTGAATGTTCAAAAGTCATATTAAGAGCCTACCTCCCACGTTGACAGGGGGAAGTTCTACTTCCACAAGTTGTAAGTCTGTGAGTTTCGGCATCCCTTCAAACTTGTGAGCGTAAATATATTTCTTGCCTTTCATATTGTGATTCAGATATCGTCTGGGTATCAATGAATTTGGATTTTGGATATTTATAACTGACCACAAAATACGATGGAAAGCTTTGATGTAAAGCAGTAAAGCTAGGCAGTCTAGTTCTATAAACTGTGAGGCAGTACGCTTCTCACAAGAAGTTGCGTAGTTACGTAACTATATCAAACCACTGATCAAACAACTCATCAAAGTTGATCAAACACGCTCAGAAGCAGACTTCTGGTCAGCACCTTTGATGTTTAGCGCCCCGCCACGCAATCGCAAAGTAGTACGTGGAGGAGGCGGGGGCAGGTTGAGCGGTTGGCTGCTCCAGCTTATATGTTTTATTTAATAAAAAAAACTCGAATATATATATATATATATATATATATATATATATATATATATATATATATATATATATATATATATATATATATATATATATATATATATATTAAGACGAAAATGTTCTAGAGTGTGTATTATATAATTTGTATAATTTCCATACCCAGCGCAAGCAGAATTAAAGATGTTGTCTGCCGCGGCTGGGTCTTGAACCCGCGACCTTTCTGCTTGCGCTGGGTATGGAAATTATATATAATACACACTCTAGAATATTTTCATCTTAACATATTACGGAGTGTACAATTACACAATTGCAACTTAACATTAATAAATAAATAAATAATTAAATAAATAAATAAATATTAACGGATTTGCGAAAAAATAAAAGACATAAACACTATCTTAAACTCTAAGCGTGCAAAGTATAGTGGGAGCATCATTTAATCAGTTTAGAAATCATATATGGGACCGCCGAGAACAATTCATTCACAAATAGCTGCAATATTCAACTACTAAGCTTGAAACTTGTGCTCCCATTAAGCTTAGCGAGAGTTTAAGGTTTGCAAACGACAACATTTTTTGGTATAGGCTAAAGCTGGTCGAATGTTGCGGGTTCGAAGCCCAGCCGCGGCAGTTATTAGCATGTAATAGGATTTGTTCTCATGTCGGCACTTGGAGACAAGTTTTTTACCTCGTTTTTTCACGACAAGCATTCGAGCAAAACTGCATTGTCCAAGAATAGGCAATTCCAGCTTTTAGTTTATGCGTGCAGTGGGGGATGGGAAGTAAGGTATTTTATTATATGGCAAGCATTTGTTTTGATGAATCGTGCAATTTGATTGGCTGCTGACGAGGCAGGAATTTCCCGTATTCAGGGCCGTAGCAACCGGGGGGGCTGGGGGGCTGCAGCCCCCCCCCAATAATTTGCTAATAATCATTTTTTTTTCAAAATCATGCAAACTTTATCATTTAATCTGTGACAAACTGCAAAGAATGAAGATATTACTCATACTCCAGATCGTTCCTCGCGTAGAAATTTTAGCTGAATTTCTGTCGCGCATTTTCAAGAAAATCCCACAAAATCTGCATATTTTTGATGAACTAATGATTTATTTTGTCTTTTGCGTGTTGGGTCTTGCGAAAGAAACTCTGAAAATGCCATTTCAGACCATCTAGAGACTCCAGATTTTCGAAATTTTCTCAAATGTTCTGCCTTCATTTCCGCGCAACTGCCATTTACGACGAAAATTCCCGCCGCGCATTTATAATGCTACAGTCTGGCCCATACTTTCCTGTAAATTTCGACATACTAAAACGCTGTTTTCTGACTATCAGAATTCTGTTAAATCTTCCCCCAAAGTCCAGGAAATGGCATTTTAGAGACTCTAAATTTAAAAATTTCCTCGGGCCTTCGGCCCTCGCTTTCAGCCCCCCCAATCGAAAGAGCTTCCTACGGCCCTGAGAGCTAAAAGGGCTAGCTATAGGGTCTGGAATTTACCAATATTTTACCCTAACTTGTGAATGTTTACGTTTAAAACTCGGCCTAAATTTAATATTAACGTTAAGAAAAATAATAAATTTGCTTCCCGCCGTTGTCTTTCTTGAGGTTTCTTCGTTTCATCGTAAACGTCGTTCTCGTATACCTTCGTACCTCTTCGTGAACCATCGTAAGACGTTCGTAATGTTTCGTAATGCCTTGCAATGATTGATAGTCCTTTAATTAAAAGCTCTAATGTTAAAGTCAGTAAAATGTGTTTGTGTTAACATCGATTTCTGCTGTCTAGAAAATCGTTAAATAGTTTCAGGCTTTGTTTATACGCTTCAGTCTTTCTAAAAATCGTGAAAATGAAATTTTGTTTTTCGTGACCCGTGAAATCTAAAAATGATCTACGTGATTTCGTGACGAGACCCCCCGCCCTTGCCCCCCTCCTCTGTCCCAACTACCCGGCGTTAGAGGTTAGGGACGGGGTTGGGGTGGGGGATCGAATTGTCATATTCGTTGGTGTGTATTCGGTCAGTATTGAAAAAAGTCTAGTTCAGAGTGTATTATATGAAGCATTTTATGGCCTTTCTTCATTCATTTCCAAGCTAAGAGGAGGCAGTCGCCTCAAACGCAGGGAATTAACGTGTAAGTACTGTTTACTTCGAATAATTTACGTGCTAATAGCGTCTGTTATGAGGGAGTTTTGTTGGCAGAATATTGCTTAACTTCTTCGCTTCATCTTCTCGTTCTTATCTTAAAAGAATCATCATACACATATAGGCGTCGATAGATCGATAAATGGGGGGGACCATATTCATATATTCGTGTTCACAGACCTTAAAAACAATCGATTTCAAAAGAAATTAATAATGTAGAACACGAATATATGAATATGCCCCCCACAATTATCGATCTTTCGACGCCTATGATCATACATTACAGTCTTAAAATAGCAAGTTGATTTCCCATTTATTAACTTGTACCGTAAATTTTTCTTCCCCTGGCGTTTGTCATTTGACGTTCGAACGCCCACCTGCGCGCAAACGGCAAATCACTAGTGATGGGCGATACTGAGTACTCGGTTTTCGTTACCAGCGATACCACAAACAGCGGTATCGGTATCGATTACTGACGTGGTATCGTTCGATACTTGCACCCTCTTTTAAACGACTTGTTTAATTTCACTTCTTGGTTGAATAAGACTTAATGAACCACTAAAATAAGTCTTAATATTCCAAATGTGGTGCGCCAAGTCATGTATAGAAAATATTTATTACGTTTCAGGCTTTTGGTTGGCTTTATTTAGGTTTTTATGAGCGATTGTTTATATCCTTTAACAGTTGCAAGCGTACGGTAATAACAAGGTCAAGGATTATCACTGATTGACTGTTAGATTTCCTTTACAAATTTATAACTGAATGTTATTTCCTATAAATTTAGCTTTATTGTGGCTTTTTGAAGGTATAAAAACCCGTGGAAACGGTGAATTACTATAATAGATTGAAAATAATTATTATAAACTATGATCTTGACTATGATTGACATTATCAAAGTAGAATGCTATTTCGTTGTATTAAAATTCAATAGTATTAATGAGAATTTTATTTGATATTTTTAATATATTTCATGTTATTTAATTTACAAAATGTACTATAGTTTTGAAGTTTTGCACACAATATGATCAGTGCGAGCACAATGGCTCCGTTTATTTTGATAGCGTGGCCCTTCACGATATATCCCGAAATATCAAGCGTGATTATTGATCCATGGATCAAAGTTATGAACGAGTTCAACGATGGCGAAAAGCTTCTAAACAAAAAGAAAGGAATATTTTTCCAGTTCGAATGGCTCAAAAATACGAATGGCTTTCATATCACCGTGAGAAGCAAGCAGCAATCTGTGAAACGTGCACAGAATACAGGCAGCCACACGATAATTCGCCATTCATCTTCACCGAATCTGCCACTGGTTTCTGTAATTGGAAGAAAGGTGTGGAACCACTAATGGATCAGGACCAAAACGAAAGTCACAAGAATGCCACGAAACAGAAAAGAAGTATGGCCAACCTACAGTTGATTGTCAGATAGATAGCCAGGTAAAGGAGCAACAACGTCTGAGGCGACAAGGCCTTGTAGCCCATTTGAACACATTGAAAACGCTCCTTACACAGAGTGTAGCAATTCGAGGTCATACCGATGAAGACTCGAACATCATTCAATTCAACAAAGACAAAGCCATCGATCATGAAGGATTAAATCTCCTTTTGAAAGAAAATCAGTACATGTCTCACGATATTTTATAGTTGAATAGTTGAACAAGAAGAAACTTTGGTGCCTTAGTGCGAGAAGAAGTCTAATATAGTTGACATTACAGTGAAAATACAAAAAGTGTCCCACTTCCGCTTCTGTAGTTTGTTGTGATTTACTGTAATTTGTTCTGTTTTTCTGTAGCGATTACCGATTTATCGCAAATACCGCGATAAAACTTAGTTTTTTTCTTTTTTTAAGTATGATAATTTGTAGCAAAGGGAAATAATACATTTTTCGTTAGTTTCATTGCATAAA